GCCAGGAGCTCACAACCGCATCTTGTCCTCTGAATTTCAGCCCGTGCCGGTTGTGCCGCAGCAAGGTCGGCGGTGCCCGGCCATCACGACACCGGCAGCAGGCATCGAAGCACTGGGTCCTACCAGCTCGGAGGGCAGCGAGCGGCGGGTTTTGCTGCCTGCGCATCCCCAGCGCCGGTTGTTACGTTGCCACCGACAGCGTGTCCTCGGGCGGGCGGGGGGCTGACGGGGCGGATCGCGCCCCATTTCCTCACGGTCAGCAGATCTGTGATCTCCTGGGACTGAACCGCCATCTAATTTACGTCCAACAAACTCACCTAATTTTCCTTTTACGCCGTCAAAGAGACGCAGCGACTGCTGGATTTCTGTCATTACAGCCCTTGTGGGGATGACTGATCTCCCGGCTCTGCCGCAGTTCAGGGCACAGGGGAGATAATGTGCTCTCTATTGACGAGGGGTTTATGGATGGGCCCCTCCAGGCGATATATATGCTCCCTGGGAATTTCTCCATAGCTGGCTCCGTGCTGTAAATCTGGATTTAGACAGGTCTTTCATTTCAGGGACAGGCAGGACGCGGGCAGGCCTGGCCCCGCTGCAGGCTGGCTTCAGAAATACTCATGCAAAAATCACCTCGGCGCATCAATCCCCGCTGAGGATGGGGTGCTGCCCGGGAGCATCCTCCGCTCTCAGTAAGGCTTGATGTATTTCAACCAGTTCTGCAGGGTTTTACAGCAGAAATCACAGGCCAGCTCGGGAGGGGCTGTGATTTATGCCAGATTTGGTGGCGCGTGTATCCTATTGCAAAACTAAATCCTCTGTAAGGGCGAGAGGCCTGCCGATGGCAGTGCGCGGGGGACACGAAGCAGCAAACTCCCCCAGCGCTGACCCCCAACACTCAGCCCCCGCCACGCCGGACTCGCCGGACCTGGAGGGTGCAGCTCTGTGGTTAAAGAAAATGCTCGTGCAAACGCCCGGCTGCTCCCTCTGCACGGAACCAGCTGGAAAATGGCTCCGTTTTCTCTCGGAGACCGTTTGCTGGTGGGCTGCCCGGTGCTGCAGGCTAGCAGAGGAACTGCCCTGGTCTCCTGTGTTTGCACTTTTATCCTGCATAAACACAGCTTCTTCTGCCGGATCTCTGCAGCCCATTTTCTAAATGATCTCATTAGGGTTTGATGTTCCAGCTAGTGTTGGAGGAGCGCGAGAGTTTGTGTTTTTAATAACCACGGGGTATGTATTGGAACTGCCTCCTGGAAGCTCCATTCAATGGAAGCTGCAGCTGGAAACGTTTCAGGGTATAAAGCTTTACCAGCTCTTACTCAGTTCCAATTTGCGGGACCTACGCTGAGCTCCCGATCCCTCCCCCGTGGCGGCGGCAGGCCACCGGAGCTCACTGCAGCCGGCAGCGTTGCTGCTCTATCGAGCGAGACGGCACCGGTCTCTGCACAGACCGGCCACCTCCTCCAGCCTCAGCCCCATCCCCAGGAGGCACCGCACCAGCGTTTCTCCAGCTGGGGAAACTGCTGGGCTTCCAGAGGGGCTGCAGGGCTGCCCAAATCAATGGAGAAAGACCCCCGATTCCCACCTGCCTCAGAAAACGTTCAGCTTCCAACGCCCAGCTCCCTGGCTCTGAGCTGCTGCGGTCGATGCGCGGCTGTGTGCGAGGTGCTGGCCACGCTGGGTAGCCCAAGGCTCGCAAACAGCTCGGGGGTTGCAGAAGCCACGCTGGGCAGGGGCTGCTGCGGGACGGGGACGCCGAGGCGGGAGGACGCGAGGCAGGCGGGGGCCCTCCCTCCGCCCCCCCCCCCCCGGGGCCTGGCG